ACGTGCTCCGACTAAACTCAACTTCCGAAATGGTGGTATAATAGCCGCCATTAAATTGATGACACGGCAGATCATTCTCAGCGCCGGTAGGTTTGTTTCCCGGACGGAATAGGACCTCGGATGCTTGAAGACTATAGGCCTTGAAAGGTCCGCGCCGAATGGAGGGTGCCATTAAACAGGAAACCCGGCTTACAGGCGACCTTGTGCAGCTGTCTAGTTTCGGTCTCCTTCCTTTGTTGAGCCGCTAATGCCACCCTGACCTGTGCAAATCCAGGCGACGGATCGCACCGGAGGAAAAAGATTCCAGGGTTTGAATTTAACACCAATATGTAATTCTCCTTTGTCATAGAAGTGAAATGATTATCCATGTAGACCGTCTAAGACAAATATGAATTGATTTAGATCGGAAATGTGAGTACGTAGGATGATCTGAACCGAATAGGAGGGATGAAATCATATATACACAGTCAATGAGATTTAACTGCACTGAGTCCTTATTGTGAGACTAAATGCTTACTGGCAGAACGAAGTCTAAAATCTGCTTTGGGGTAGCCATGTACCTCTCCTTATAACCCTCCACCTAGAAAAATACCCGTTGAGATTTTTCATGCATAATACTATATACAGTATACTACTCTTTATAATATGAACACCTTTCATGATTTCACAGCTAAAGGGCAGGTCGTCGTCTTCTGTCGAAATGTAGGCCGTACGTTATAGCAATCTCCTTAGTATCTTTGCTTAGCTCACGGCTAAGCTGAAATGTACCACAGCATTATAAAGCCTCAGGTTGATGACTAGTTCCAGATAGGGGCTTGGTTTGCATGTGTGTATGCGTGTATTTATGTAACGCTGGTGCAGGGGGGAGGATTGGCCCTGTAATTCTCTTTAGGGGGATAGGGCGTGGAGAGCTGCTGTTACAGCTACATATATACCCACAAATTCAGCCGTATTTATATCCCGCACGTTAAACTATGAGCACACACAATGATTTCTACATGTCCCTATTGGCTTCTTCGAGCAAGCTCGTGTACGATGCATTTGAATGTTAGATGGACTCTTCCTCTCGGGTTACCAGGGCTTCGGGTTCCTCTTGGGAGTACCTAATTCGGACTACTTCAGGTTTTTAGTACCTACTATGTGATACGAACGTTCAACGCCAGAAGTAGAGGCTGGTGAGCAATGGACCTTGTACGTGCCAGCTGCAGAGGGTGACCTAACAGCTACGAAATTTCATCAAGGACGGTAATTCTATTATCGTCATTCCCTTCGGTAGTCACATAAGTTTACAATTACGCGGGTTTCTATTTCTCCTCCCTTACATATCGTCCACAGATCAGTGTAACTATCAATGATCGTAGAATTAACATTGCGAGCATCACGGGACGGTATAAGCGACACAAGATACAGAGTACTGCGCAAATTCAATACAGTTAGTTCACTTACCATGTATAGTACCCCACCCATTCAGCAACTCATGTGGTCGCGTTTGATTTTCAAACACCGGGCTGCGAAATTTAGAATGGGTAATGGGGTATTAAGTACAACGCCTAGGAATGAGATCAGGTTTCGAACTGATGGGAGGCTGTTATTATATCCTTGAAAAGAAGGTAGGTGAAGTTTCCTAAGTCGGGCTGATTTGTGGAGAAATAGGTCACAGGGAAGCCTACTAGTACGCTATGTAGATATAAATGTAACGTTATTCTATACGCAGTACTAGCAAAAGATCATAAGCAAAGGCAAATAATGGATCTCCACCTACATGCCCCACGGCCGTATCTTGGAATCCTTGAAAATTGCTGACTACCGTCCATTACCACACATTGCCCTTCGTCTGCTTCCCCTTTGTCTCTTCCAACTTTTTGACGTTGATGTTCTTCCATATCAAGATGCAGACCACACAGAGAGGGATGAAACAGGCGCCAGCGATGACCATCTTTCTCTGTACATCCGCATATGCCGCGATAATAGCGTTCCGAATAGGGCTTCCCATGGGATACGACCTCTGAATAGTGATAGAGCCGTAAATCTTCGTCGTCAGATTCTTGCTACCCTCTGGTAGATTTTCGTACAGCTTTGTGGGGAGAAGGTTGGTCCAAATCCCGCCAGCGATAGCAAGACCGACCGCGGAACCAACGGAACCAAAGAGGCCAAATAAGGCCAATCCCACGGCGATCTCCTGATGACTTATGTTTGCCATTATCGCAAGCTGCCCTGCAAGCGTCCAGAACTCGCTAGAAACACCGTTGAAGATTTGGCACATGACTAGGTAGCCAACATACGTGTCCGGTACACGGAAGTGGATTAATAGGACTGTGCCGAGGACGCAGAATGGAATTCCGGCGATGGCGGTCCATTTGTAATTTCCAGTGTATCGGATGAGACTAGAATCAAGTGATCAGTTGGATTATTGTAAGAATGCATGCATAGTAGGAACTTACAGGCCACAGAAAGGAGCAATGAAGGCCGACGTGAGCGAGAACGCATTTAGAACGTAACCAGAGATGGTGATACTCTGATCGTGCACCACCTGGAGGTAGGATTGGTAATAACTATCCCAGCAACTGTAACCCAGATATCAGTAAAATGATTGGTATTAGATTACCAAAACAAAACAAGAAAAAAAAAAAAAAAAAAAAAAGAACCTAACTTACTAGATAGAAGCGAACATAGCGCCATAGAGGACGCAGGCACCAAGAATAGTGCGATTCTGCAAGAACTTATAAGGGAAAAATGCAACCGGGGCGAAGAATCTCTCCCAGATTCCGAAGGCGGTCAATAGAACCACACCGAGCACTATCATAGCAATTATATATCCAGTCTTCCAGCCACTAGGCGCATATTTTGCCAGGCTGAAAGGCAGGAGCAGCAAGGCGAACCCAAAAGTAATTAGAAACATTCCAACCACTAGAGTTGTTGGGAATCTGTTAGCGTCCTATATAATGTATCCAAGATGATTTTTGCTTTCTTACCATCGAATTGAACAAAGTAATACTTTGTAGACGCCCAAGCCGAACGGGTTTTCACTTTCGTGGGGAAAACGCCGGCCCTTACGGCTTTGCGCTTGCTGAGGATAAAAATAATAGCGACAGGAATGCAGAAAGCAACCAGGATAATCGTGAAAGCACCGAGCGCCCACCGAAAGTTGACATAGGTATAGAATAGATCGGAAATCCTGGGTCCAGCGAAAGTGGTGGCAATAGTAGGAGTTGAGTTGATGCCGAACATAACTATTCGGTTCTGAAGCGAGGTCATGTCTGCAAGCATAACGTCGATAATATATGTCAAGCCCAGATGGCCAACCCAGTAGAGTGTATGTGCTGCTGCGTACATCGACACATTGATGCAAGTTGCCTTCATAATCATACCGAGGACAAGAAGTATCAGCATGATCACGAAACCCTCGCAACGACCCCATATGTCGATGATCTTAGCAATGGTAGGTCTGCATACGCCACCAATAATCGTCGCAACAATGCTAGTCGTGGCTAGCAGACCGTGCTGGCTGAAGGCTGAAGTGATGTAGGCTACAAGGTTAGACTGGACGGATTGCAATAGCATGTCGACGAAAGTCACGAGATAAAGCCTGCGATGTCACCGCTTCATTAGTACCGCGATGCAAGATTGCAGCCCCAGAGGCGAGACTCACAGGATGAACATGACGATGAGTAGTTCTTTGGACCATACAGTGGTGATGGCCTCGACCTGCTTGACACCTTCTTGCTTGTGCTCCGAACTGGAGTCGGAGTCGGCCTTGGCACCATCCTCCATCGCGTGCATGTCGTGAACATCGTGGTCTCCCGAGAACTGCTTCTCGGTAATCTCATCCTGGCCATTAGGCACAGACTGGGGAGGGATTGCGGTCATCGTGATCAATATCGACGGCACACTGGGCTGATTATTGTCAAAGACAAGAGGCGAAAGAGCTGCGGATGTAACGCATCTGACGGCGCGAAGTAAAATAGATATTTGTATTGCAGCGATCCAACTTAGGAAGGCCTTTTGTATGTAGGCCGCGCATTTCTGCGCGTGTTCAACGTTACAATTCGGGATACCACCCCGTTTTCTTCTGCGCCCCCGAACAGATTGGCCAGTGTGCTAAGGGGGGAGGGGTTAGATACCCGAAAAAGGAGTGACCGACGAAAAGCTGCTCCAAGGCCCGCTGTTCGATAATCTTGGCATATGCCAGTGGTCTTATTAGACCCTGCGGCTGATCCCTTGGCCCATCGCGATCCCGGTCTGGGAGAGTAAGCCCGAGCACTACTACGAAAATTTTATCTGATCCGTCTCCGAATCTTATCTGATCCGTAATGCCAAGTGCGATGCTGGTGTGAGCATCGTTGATATGTAGGGCCGGCCCTTGAATGATGCCGTAGTCGTACACCACCTTTGCTACGAATGAGATCCGACTCATTGTTCAAGCGACCCTCAAAGAAAACTAGCAGACATCCAGTCTTCTAGTCTCGACCGTAAATCAAGCTTAGGATGTCACAAAATCTTGAATACGTGCCAGGCAGTCCGTCAACCAACCCAACCGAGCGCTTATACCGAGGGGCGGTAATCAGGCTCCTATTCAATATTCAACTACGATCACAGCCGGGAAATGATATCGGAGCAGGCCGGGGGCGGCGGACGACGCACTAAATGTAGTCAAATGCCAGCCAGTCAAGTCAGTCAACGCGGTAGAGTTGGAAGATCTGCTGTTCTCAACATCATTTGACTGATGGATATGTGGCACTGGAGAGATTCACGGGATATTTTCTAAACGACACTTATCTACCTACCAGACCTAGTAGATGATCTTCTCATCGAAATCATTCTAGCCAGCCCGAGAGAACTATATGATTTAATGCGGGTGCCTTAGATGTTTCAACAGAGAGAATTAATAAAATTGAAATTCAAATAAAAGAAGGACTGGATGGATGTAAGGACAATTATGCTTGGTTTATTAACCCGATATGGGTGGATCTTGGAGAAAAAGCATAAAAATAAAGTTGACATGCCCCCGCACCGGATTGAACGATGGACCTCGGCATACCTCGGGAAGGGGAAATACGAGTGCCGCGCTCTACCACTGAGCTACAAGGGCATCTGATGAAAACATGGTTCTTGTAGTGGTACATGATACTTTTGCTACGTCATCCTCTCGGGTGGCGCTTGCAGTTATCGTGAACTACACATAGGGCACCTACGAAAAGCCTTGATCTGTCCAGTAGCTTGGTTAGTAAGTCTCAGAATTTGCAATCACTTCAAGTTCTAGTCCCCTTTTATATCTTGCCATTAATCGCTGTTTCCTGCAAGAGCACGTCGAAGCGACTCCGTGTATGTCGTCTTCATTGGACTACGCTTGAAATGTAAGGGCAACATCGTATAATACTATATCATCTCTATTCGCATGGGTATTTAGCAACCTAAGGAGTTCAATCTAAAGAGATAGCCTCGCGTAGATACGTCTCGGGACTAAAGCTGCCTACGAGGTTATATAGTAGGTACAAGCTCCCCCCAAGAGAGTCCCACTTGGCATAAGGGGCATCGGAAAATTGTCATATGTGAGAGAAAATGCTTTATCATATACGAAGCCGTTGAATTTTCGATAAAAGACAAGGTGGGCCGGCGGAATATGTGGAGGTGTGGTACTTGCATTACGATGACTTGCGTGTCGATTGCGCTAGCCCTATATGCAGTGTTCATAGTAAGATGGACTCGGATGCTCTTGTCCACCTTGTTATGTGTTCTGCTGCAACAAGGTAAAGATTTGCATCCTCTGACAGAATATTACCTCCGAGACGAAAGATAGTAGGAAAACGCCACCTACGCATCACAAACAACTGAACCATCCAGCTCCGCGTCAGCTCTGTCCAGCACTAGCCTGTAGACAGCAGAATAATCAAGCTAATGATATCAAGTACATAAAACGGTGTCTTGGTTGTTCTGGGTGCCATCGCCGAGATGTTCGTTGGGAAATAGCAGCCAGTCCTATCCAATAACCTCCTGGTATGCTATCTGCATGCATTACATCCTAGCTGTTCCATTTCAGGTTTACAATAATGGAAATTGTATTCAGAGTAGCCCTAGCGCATACTCGCGAAATGGGTCTCATTGATTCTTCTTAGTGTCAACTTTGTCTTTCTGTACTTGATGCTGCTTTACAGTGTTGAGACTGTTCACCACTTTCGACAGGGGCAAGTTTCTAGAGTAGATTAGTTTGTCGTGTTGTTTGCAGTCTTTTTCCACAATGTACCGGGTTGTTATACAGTAGATGCATGTGACAAGGGCTGTAATTCAGGGCTTAGAAATATATCAATTCAGCAATAATTCTCTAGGCCCTCTGAGGGTGCTTGTTGTTCTAAGTTTTAATCTGAATCTGAGATTCGGCGACAGGTCTTTATAGACCTGCTGCCGCGGTACGTATTCCTGGTATATATCTAGTCTGTTGCCGACATAGCCGCCGTCTGGTGATCATATCTTTTGTTAGGCAGTCATACATTCCAACAGTATCGAATAATATCCAACAGTACCTGTCAGGGTTCTTTGTTAAGCTTCATGTATATAGAGGCTGTTCGAAGAACAGCATTTTAGTTAGTTCTTCGTGCAACAACTGTGTTGTTTTGCTACCTCATACGTTCATCTCGTGACAGTACCCAATATATGTACTCGTGCAGCATTCCTGCATCTCGTATAGCTTCCAACAGGTCTAGGCTCCAATAGCCGTGTGACAATGCAGTTTTTCAGCTGCCTGGCAACCTATAAGGTTGGCCGCTTTTCTGGCTGGGTATGGAGCCTTGATTGACGAAGAAGTTTGTCTATGAAGTCAACTAGTTATGTTGTTTAAAACTGATATGACGTTTTGGTACCTCCGTAAGGTATGTTGCGCCTCCTCATGTTTAGAGGTAGAACATCTTGAACTAAGTAAATGTAAACACAAACATCTGGGATAGGAGAGTTCAATAGAATACTTAGCTAGGTAATTTCCAGGTAGACAGTGCTGACAGGGTGGTGATAATTAGAAAGCAGGACGGTTGTTTTGACGGTGATCGAATAAGTTCCGTGACCTACCTAGGTACTGTTGAATTGAGAGTCAAGGACTGGTACAGTACAAGGCACGTAGTAGCATTGTGTATATATAACAGGCCATCTGCCACTCTAGAATAGCTGAACCTCAAGTCAATCTAAGTCTCATTAACCCTGTATTTCAACAGGTACCTAGCTAGGTAGATATAGTAGGATAGACAGGTTACCGTATATATTTGCTTACCAAACCCGCAGTACCGTTTACTAGTGAATTGATGTATCATCTCTTGCGTATTGAACGCTCACACAGCCTGATGCTGTTGACCTCGACAACATTGACAGCAAAAGCCCTAAGACGCTCCAATTTCTTCAAACCGGCAATAAAATTCAACCGCGCGTGTTTTCTTATCTTATTTCATCTGATCTCTCAGCAACCATTGAACTTTTCAGCAACTAAATCTAGCCCCTCACCCCTGGCCTCCCCCGGCCTCCTCGAACTACTTCTTGTTGGCGCTGTTGGTGGTGGCATAAAGTCATTCACTATTCGTTACGTTATTCAGACTCTTTCAATCGTACTTGAGTGACTACGGTTATAATTTTAAGTAGTTATTATTGTCATTAAGGTAAAAGGCTCTTCAAAGAAACGTATATCCTTTTATCAATAAAGAACTGCAGGGCTAAGTAACTACTCCAGGTAAGTTATAATCATCCTAAAGATAGCCATCTTAATTAGGTAGAAGGTAAGCCAACTTCATGTAACGATGCCGTTACCACAGGTCTTGATTTGATATACCTAACAGAACGCGTAGAAGGGTAAATACTTAGACTGATCGCTAGCTAGCTAAAAGAGAGACTATCTACAAGTAAGACCCTTAGGTCTTACGGATATATGTTTCTGAATAGCTTTATTTACTAGCGTATATCGCCAAGCCACTGAGGATGCTTGGACCAAAATACGGAGTATCGCCAAAAGAAATAAATGGCTTGGCGATACCAGTGGTCACGTGACGCCGCTGGCTGCGGGGGTATTCAGGAATGAGTGGTTGTAACACTTCATAGATGAAAATAAAAGATAAGAGCCCGAAAATCAGTACGGCACTAAGTAATGATGAACACATTGTATTTTCTGAGCGAAAGGTGAAGCTAGAAGGGGTAAGTTTCTTATATACCTATGTGCAGTATGAAGGCGCATGGTAGCGAGTCTCAACCCTCTCTTAGGTAACAAATACAGCTTTGAAAGGTGAATCTTTTGACAACACCGATAGGTTGTGTATAGGTTATGTATCCAAGCTGCCAAGCCCCCCGAATGGCCAAGCTTTAGACTGAACCTTCGGCCAGGTCCTGAGAGTGAGCGACGTGTCAAGTAAGCCAGCCATAGTAAGTGTTCTAGCGCAAAGAAGCCTTAACTTCGAAGTTCGAACATACGCTTATCGTACGCACACTCCGGGCTTACTGATTCGACGATATTGAACGAGGCCTGGGAAATAAAGATATAGGGCTCGGCATCTGGAGTCGAGTTGATAAAATTATCGGCTGCCACTATTTGCGAAAGGCATCTAGGTGTATCTGAAACGATAGTACCTATAGTAGAAACTAAACTAGAAATAACCTCTTTACTACAATCACCAGTGCTAGCCTATCCCCAACAACCTTCAGGATTAGCAGGTAGCTTGTTACTATTGCGCTATTCCAAGGGTCGACTTACGGGCTGCATTGGTTCTATCCACTTGTTTCCCCTTATGAAGCTTTCTATCGGTCGGAGATTTGTAGAACCGGACTGTAGCATTGCTTTCAGATCCGGAATAGGGGACTATACGAAGATGATCCGATTCAGTTGCTCTTGCTGTCTGCATTGCTGCAGCCTTATTCCAAGAATTTCCGACATCAGTTTCTCGATATGGCGTTTGTTTATGAGGTATTGTGTGGACGGGTTTTGTACGTTTATTATGCGATTCATTAGTAGCGTGTCCCTCTCGCTTCTGAGGAAGCTTAACCTGTGGTGATGAGGCAGATGTCGAAGGCTTGGGAGGAGGCTATAAAGGTGTTAATGTTATAGGATATTAAGGACCTAAGAAAAATCCAAGCCGGAACTTACTTGGGCACTAGTAGGTGTGCTAAATGTAAATGCAGCGGTCGCACAGTTTTGGGTCTGTTGAGTAGTTGTGTTGCTCTTTTCCAGAGACGAAGAGTTCTTGCACTGTAACACAAGTCGACGTCCAGACGAAGATAATACTTCTCTACCATCCAAAACTTCATACATTATTCTCCACGCGGAATCAGTCGTAGATTCTCCAAGGGTAGGACTTAACCTCCGAGCATAGAACTCTCCCATCTTGGATCTGCCATCGGTTTCGATTGCCGTTAATTCCCTCACGAATGCCTCAAGAGCATTATCAACTCGTTCATCTACGAACTTGCGAAACTCCCCTAGTCCGACTGATTGAATATACTTATTGACCTCTTCGTTAAGCCGAGTGGTGTCAAAAGGAGTTATCTTGGAAGTAGACATGTTATAGAAGTATGTAGGATGTTGCAAATGGTATCCTATGAGACTCGCTAGAATGTAGGGCATATGAGGCTAAGCTGTCTAGAGTTGAAGGGTAGCCTCGATACATATACACAACTCTGACAGGATAACTAAGACTGTACGAGTTCATTTATTTCCAAGTTCACGAGTATGAAGTATACCATTGCAACACATCCCGCCGAGGCTCCACTAGGACTCTGCAGTGTGATGAAAAAAACTTGCTTTGGCTTATTCCAGACGATGTCCAGTTACTCCGGCCGTTCAAGATATCGGGGGTTGATAATTAGGCTCGGTGAATGGACCGGATGCTGCTGTGATTTATCATTTTTGAACTCCATGTACTTACTACAATTGGTCTCCAGTGGATATCCTTTTCGTGGCCATCACATCAAGATATGTAACATATGTCTGAGGCAAGCGCATAACCACGAATGGCGGAACTTCCAGCGTTTCGGACCAATAGTTCCGACGCAACCCATGCTAGTTGTGGTCATATTTAGGGGGCTGCCCGTTAAGTTACATGGGAAATATCCAGAGATAGTCCACTGAGC